ATTTTCGAGAAGAAGATGAAGAGGAAGACAAGAAGGAATACAAATAAATAATAACAGAGAGATTGATTTATATTTTATTTTTATAAATTGTGGAAGTTCCCTCATTTTTTATATACTTAATTCATTTCAGCATAAATGTAACTTATCAATACTAAAAATTTGAATATAAATACTGTGAATATATAATTAAAAAATGATATCAAAATTTTAATAGTTTACAAAATAAATATTTAATTATTTGTATAAAAATAAGCTCTTTATACCACACAGTGCAATGTTGACAGTTGTTGTTACCTGTCACTTTAAGCCAGTTATATAAAAGTAACCGAGTAGCAGAAAACGAAACTGCAATGAAAAATAATTTTGTAAAAGTAGATTGCTTTTTTACTATATGACCTTGAAGCTCGACCCTAACGTCAAGGTCAAGGTTACCATCGGATGCGCTGTGAAAAATGGTGAGATTTTTGTCATCAACATCCTAATATATAACACAGGATGATTCACAATATGCGTCATGAAAAATTGAGTCAGTATCGTAAAAAAATGTTTGTAAAATCCTTAGTTTCCGAGAAAGAAATTATTGAAGTTACTGTAGTCTCTAGCGCCATTCGCGTTGTGTGCAATGCGCTCTCTCTCCACGTGGCCCCAGACGATTCCGATGTTAGTATTTACATTTTTGCCATAGTGTTTACATTAGTTTTTCACGTATCAAAAATAGTTTACGTGTATAGCAACTCGGGAGTTGATGGATATCGTTTTATTTTATGGTGAAAAAAGACAACATTTGTATTATGGTGAAGCATTTGTGTTATGGTGAAGCAAAACAACATTTGTGTTAGTTTGTAGAAACTGGGTAAGACGAACAATGTGTTTACACGTCGGTGAACAAAATTTTGAACAGTTGTAATGTCATGTAGGTATGTCAAATTATTTTATTAATAAAAATCACAAATTAATTTTATTAATTAATAATAACAATAGCGACAAAAGCAGTTGAATTTGCAGTTATAAAATTTTATTTATATCTTTCCTTGGGAAAGAAATTAATTTTTTTTTTTTTTTCAGTGCTGTGCAGAAGTGGATCATCATCATTTTCAAACTGCCCTTTTCGATTTTCTTTTACAAAATTGTATTTGTAAGAGTCTCCTGTACATTCAAATTTTTTTTTATAAGTTTTGAATCACCCTGTATAAGATAAGACACGGGAATAAGATTATGATTTCTATTTTATGGTAAGAACTATATTTATTGTATATCGATATTAATATTACTCATTTTTAGGTGATTAAAAACTTTTTCAATAATCGCTATAGACGTTTCTCCTACCAACAGAGAATGCGCAGCATATTTACATAGCTTTTAGATCAGTTTTACATAAATGTTTTAAAACATAGCGTAATTCTTTCAATTACCTAGGACTATTTTAATCTACACTATTCAAAATAAAAATCAAGCATACATTTTCTTTCAAATACCCAATATTTCTATATACATATACATAAACATTAAATTTATGAAATAAAACTCGAAAAGTTATCTAATTTAATTTAAATCTCAATAACATTCCGTCTTTTCTTAAGTAGGACTATATTATTGATACATTCATAGAAAATTGCATCTAAATATTTAAAGAAGTAATTATATTCACATCTAAATAAAACACATAAATATTTAGCAGTATCATATGCAAATTAATAGGAAGCAATAAAAGACTTAGAATTTACATATATTCATTTTCCATTTCCATGAAATTTAACTATAATCTTTAATTAACAATACAAACATTTGAAAAGCATATAAAGGATAACATTCGATACAACAATATATGACCTACTGTGAAAATAGACTGTTTCTTACCGACTAACTAATTAAAATTATTTAGAGGATACTTTTGTATTCGAAAACATCATTATGTACAAAATTGAGAAGAATGGGGCTTTTTCATACAGCCTAAACTATCTGAAGATGACGTATCAAATTCCTCTCTCTATGGATAAGTCTTATCTGAAGAAGTTCGTCGCAATTTATTTGCTGTCGAAGGTGGTTAGCTTCTTCTTTACTATTATTGGGCCTTTACTGTTTCTAATAGTTATAATAGGGAGTAAGTAAACGTAAGAGTAGAATAGTATTTAGCTAAATAGTTTTACGCCTAATTTATTTTTAGCAAAGATAGGTATACCTAACTATTTTTATTACAGCTCATTCAGAAACGGATATAAGCGAAGCTACTTCTATTGCTTTAGGTGGCACTGCAGCATTTCTAGTAAATGTATTATTTACTTTAAAATACAAACAATGGTCCGACTTTTTCAAAGATCTCGAAGACTTAAAAAAATTCGGCAAACCAGCGTCTTACCAAAAAACGGTAAATTTCTTAAACCGCTTCGGATACATTAGCATCTTTGGTTCCTTTATGGTCATAATAATTTACGGCTTGACAGCTTGGTACAACACCAAATTGATCAAAGAGATCAATGAAGATTTTGATCAAATTAGCCCTGTATTAGTCCCGATATGGCTACCATTCGGTGCCAATAATCTAACCGCAGGTACCATCATTTTTACGATGCAAATCATCTTCACTGGACTTCTTACAGGTCAACCGCTTCTAATTCAAAGCTTCATAATATACGAGTCAACAGAGATATTGATATGTTACATCAATCACTTGAATGATAACTTCAAGAAAACATTCGAAGCATCATCGAGGGTAGAAATGAGAAATAGGCTTCGGTTTTGCATCGGTTACCATGTCCACTTACTTAAGTAGGTACTCAGTCCTTTTGATCTTATCGTTTTTGTAAAATTGGGTATAAAATTGTATGTGCAGTTTCCCAGTTCAAATTTTTCGTTTTAGACTGGGATACCGTCTTAGTTCACTTGTAAAATATACAGTTGGGCACATGTCCCTGTTGTCTGCCTTGGTTTGCGGTTGTATGGCCAATCAAATGTTAACTGTAAGTACTGCATTATTTAAATATCCAGCAACACTAAAAACCAAACCTTTCTAATTAATTTTAGATAGTTTTTCCGATTCATTGAAGGATATATTGATAGCTTAGTTGAAAAGAGTATGAATGTCTTAATAGATGAAAAGAATTATCATCCTTCACTTTTCATCAAATGTAATATTAACCCGCTAATAGTTTAAATTTCTGGAAAGCTACTCATAGCTCTATAAGCCTTTATTAGTTGTCAAATGAGACTTTCTGAATGAATTTAGTGGTCTTGATACATACCGCAGTAAATCAACTTCATAATAAACTTGCTTCTATATTTCAAGCATCCGTTACTAAACACATGGATCACAG